AAGAATACCTTTTAATATAGTTGTTTTTACTAGCCACTAACATTATAGAAAAGTGTTGCTATAGTTTATATTTCTCTAATATCTTTATTTTATATTTTAAGTATAGATATAATGTATATTTCTGTAATGTAGATATTTTCTGATTTACTGAAAAATTAGAGTTGTATGCTCTCTGTGTAGTAAAAGTAGGCTGTACAGCACAAATAATTTGTGCATTTCACTTTGTTTGCTTATGATGAAATGTTGGGTCTTCCCTCGTAGCTCAGTCAGTTAAGAACCTGCCTGCAATGCAGGAGACCCAGGTTTGATTTCTGGGTTGGGAAGATCCCCTGGAGAAGGCACTGGCAACCCACTCCAGTATTCTTGCCTGGAGAATCCCATGGAGAGAGAAGCCCAGCAGGCTACAGTACATGGGGTCTCAAGAGTCAGCCAGGACTTAGCGACTAAACCACCACCATGATGAAATGTTACAATTTAAGGTAGCACTCATACTTGCAAGTTAGTGCAGAGAATCATGACAAAGATTCTAGCCAAGAGGGTATTTTCTTTGAAACATTAAGTTATAAGTTATACAGAAATAAGGCACTTTTTTGACTATTTTCTTATTTAGAGGTTGAAAAAAAAGTGCAAATCTAGATACTTGAATAACACATTTCATTTTAATGGAATAATATTTTCAGAATCATAATTTCTAATTTATGGCAAGCATTTGAAATAAATTCATATAAATAATTTTGGAGAATGCAGTTTGAGTTTGTATCTATGTATAAGAATGCAGACTAAAACATATTAAATATTTTTATGTTGCTAAATATGAGGTTCAATTTCTCAAACTTTAACAATCAAATTATTTGCATTTTAATAACAAATGTAATGGTCATTTGAAAGAAATATTGTTTTAATAACTATTTCTTTTTTCAGTGATAAAGTCAGTGAAACTTTGAGCAGAGAAAAATAAAACAATAATGTTTTAATATAACAATTGCAGAGAGCATCTTTATTCTAATTAAAAGCTTATAGCATAAACTGGAACTTTCTAACTGAGCTACTATTGAGTACTCTAGTTATTAATGAATGCATTATTCTAGTTTTTAATATTAATCAATTCTGAGTATCATGCATGAAATTTGCCTGGATGTTTATTAATCCAGTTATCTTCTGCAGCTATAGGGTTATGTTACAACTTGCTGGTTATTATTTACTCACAAAGGAAAATGATCAAGATTATGGGGAGATAGATCATATTTGCAAAGTAGCTGCCTAGCTGATGTGGATCCTTGGATGGATCAACCTCTTAGTATTTCACACAATGTTAATTATTAATATACCCTATTCTATCCTTCATATTAAGTCAGGATGTTTTATTTCTGGCATATCTTCTACATAATAAAATATTCTAAAACTTTATTTTGTACATGGTGGGATTTTTGTTTTTTTCTTGAGATTTATATGCAATTAATTCATAAGGACATAGTTATTGGTTACCTCAAGTGTAAGAACATACTAACAGTAAAGATATTGAGAAAGTTGCAAGGATACTTTTTTGTAAACTAAATTATATTATGACTATCTTTGACTGGAAATAGTATTTTTATATAATATCCTAAGAATAAACTCTAATTTATAGATAACTACTGTAAAAATTCTGGTATATAAACATGAGTGTGTTTCAAAGTAGTAGACAATTATTGCAACATATTGGTATATTTTTCTCAGTGGGACAAAGTAAAGGAAATGTCAGAGTAGTTTAAGTTTCTCAAAAATTTAAAAATGCAAAAAAAAAAAAAAGTAATTTTTATTGCATAGTGAGGAGTAAAATTTGTGTTAATCTTGAATGATTTCAGAAAATCTAAAGATAGCTCAAGTTTAGGAAACAGCTTAGCTACCTATTACTCTTAATTTGGACCTGAGTTTGGAATGGAATAATCCTAAAAACTGCTGTCATGGAATATGAAATACAGACCCAAGTGATATAGTACCCATAAGCAAGAAATATTTACAAGTTACAGTATGAAACAGTTTGAAAACAGTACAGTAATTAAGAACAATTTAACTTCTTTCAAAATAAAGAATGTTGTCAACTGGTTGAGTACACTAAAGTTAAGAAATTTTACAGAATAATTTGTTAATAAAATGGAAAGTATCATTTAAGTACAGAATATCTTGGTCATTTTTTTAGAAATAAAGTACAAATTTTAAGTTTATTTTGTATATGTTTCAGGTCTTTTTTTTTTTTTTCTTTCCCCTTTGGACTTGCTATGAGCTGATATTTATTTAAAGAAACAAGAAAAACAGGTGTATTTTCTTGAAAAGGCCAGAGTTAAATAAACCATGTGTTTCCTGTACAAGGCTTTCTCACTTTTAGATAATTTAGATCATTTTAATTCATCAGATTAGACAGCTTACATTTGGAGGTGGAACTGAGAATCAAAACAGGGAGATGTTGGTGGATGTGATTGGTGCCAGAGCAAACTTGCCACCCTCATGATGGGCTGAAGGGTGTCCAGGGAAGTGTTGGCCCTACTACTCAGAAGCCCTAGGACGTGTGGCCTGGATAGTTGGAGAGACAATGAACCAAAACCAACTTTACTCTCTTTCTAACAGCTGATCTTCTTGCCAGGCCCCCTGTGTAAAGTTTTTAATATGTTGGCTTCATCTCTATTTCCGAACCATTTGTGATATGTGCAGAAAGGTGAGGCCTTTGGGCATTGAAGAGATCTGGAGTAGTCAGTCCATAAATGGAGATTTGAAACTTAATACAAGCCTTACTCAAAACCAAGTGGGCAACCACACATGAAGTGAGATCTAGGGAGTCTGAGGTCTAAGTTCTAGCTATAAGGAGTTCTTTTTATTTTTTTAATTGACATTTAAGTTTTTTGTGGTTTTTTTTTTTAATATTGGAGTATAATCAACTAACAATGTTGTGTTTGTTTTAGGTGCACAGCAAAGCAATTCAGTTATAAATATATAGGTATTCTTTTCAAGTTCTAGGACATACTTTGAAATAAATAGTATATATAATGTTTTTATGGATATATCTATCAACATTAAGAAATTCATTTCCCATTTGAAATTATTACTCAAAAGTATTTTAACCCTAGGCACTCAGAGTTGACTGTCCTCTGATACTCCATTTTTACAGAATTCCTTCCATTTTCTTTTATAATTTTAAATGTTTTTTCCATTTATTTTTATTAGTTGGAGGCTAATTACTTTACAATATTGTAGTGGTTTTTGTCATACATTGACATGAATCAGCCCTGGAGTTACTTTGACATGAATCAGCCATGGATTTACATGTATTCCCCATCCCAATCCCCCCTCCCACCTCCCTCTCTACCTGATCCCTCTGGATCTTCCCAGTGCCCCAGGCCCGAGCACTTGTCTAAAAATTTTGAAATAAATCTTATATACTTTGCATGTGTATTTAGAAATAGATGCATATTTAGTTATTCAAATAGATGATAAGGTCAGTGCTTTGGCCTTCAGCTTTATCACTAATGTATATACCATTTTATTGAATTTTAAAAACTATAATGATTCCCTTAGGCAAACAAATGAGTTTGGTCCTGGCTTTTCATGGGTTGACTCCTTGCCAGGAAAGACGAATCTTTTTTCTTCCTGTTGGGCTCTGCTATTGTCCCAGAGAAACAATTTCCCCTCTATTTCCTCAAATCTATTTCATTAATGTTTCTATTTATTAATATTTTGCAAGTAAAATAGTAGTCTCTTAAGAAACGGGTAGGAAGGCAACAAAGTTTTAGTATATGAGAAGAAAAATACAAGCAAGACTCTAATTAAACATCTTCCTTTGCATATTCCAAAGCACCTAGTAACTCTAATACTTCTTTTTTTTTTTTTTACTTCATAGCACCATTTTTAAATTGGAGAATAATCAAGTACCTGCTATGTTTTTGTGTTCTCTCTTATACTTCCAACAGTAATTTATATAATAGTTAATAAATTTATTTGATTATGGTTCAAATCAATTCCTAAATTATATGTTGTCATTTATTAACTTATTCACTCAGTAAACATTTATGATGTGGTACAGTGTCTTACCAATCAGAAGAAAAGTTCAGTGAGTCATTGTCAAAGTTTCTACTTACACGTTTTCTAAATCCATGCAGCATATTTAACTCTCTTGAAATAAGATAAGTTTTATGAACAAAAAAAGAGAATATGATACTGAAAAAATCAAGGAGAAAGAAAATGCAAAGAAGGGCAGAGAAAGAGGAAAATAAAAGATACTTTGGATATATTCAAAGAAATGTACAGAAAAAGAATTTGTGGAGATGATAACTTTTTATAGTTAAAGAAAAGAGGAATACTATAGCATAAAATTCTGGTCTCCCTTAGGTGCTGGATTTTGGGTAATTTTTATTTATTTTAGTTTCATTATTGGAAACTATTACTTTGCCTGAAGTACAGTTTTTCAAAGGTTTGCATAATTAAAAAGATATTATGAGCATAATTTTCTATTTTTATTGAATCATTTCAATTTGAAAGGGATTTAAACTATGCTTGAACATCTTAAAGTATTATATATTTTAAAACTTTAAAAGCATTACAGTATGCTTGGAATACATTAAAGTATGTGAATACTTATGATAGGTTTGCTAGGGGTTAATTTGTTGAAGAATTTTTTTTTAATCTACTTTACCAGAAATGTTTATGGCCAAAAAGGCAACTATATTTGATTTATGAACAGATTTTATAAAAAGGAAATTAAACTGAAAAGTGATATTTAGAAGTTTCTTTGTACTCTGAACGGCCAAATAATGATAAATAATGTGGAAATCAAAATAATACCTTTTCCGTTTTCTTTAGCCATGCATTATACTCATATTTATTTCTCAGTGTAATCAATTCTTATTATATTTTGCATCCCTGTCAGTATAAGGGCAATATCAAAGGTACTAAGCTTCTAATTTTCTAATTAGATATCTTATGCTTATACTATAAAAAGCATTATTAACATGAGTGTGTATTATTCACAGATATTGGCAGACCTAGAAAACCATGCATTATTTAAGAATGATCTGGAATGTCAAAAGCTGATTCTAGAAGCAATGAAGTACCATCTGTTGCCAGAAAGAAGAACTTTAATGCAAAGTCCAAGAACTAAACCTAGAAAGTCTACAGTTGGAACTCTGTATGCTGTGGGAGGCATGGATAACAACAAAGGTATTTAGTTCCAGATCTTTAATAATATACACCTGGTATCATACCATAAAACAAATTTACTATTGTGTCTGTATAATACCAACAAACTTCACAGAAACTTACCTTTATTCATTAAAATTTTAGATTTAGGAAAAAATTATGATGCCTCATTTGTCCTTTTTTCCAATCTGTAGTTGCTGCTTCTGTTTATCATCTTTAAATCTTTTATCTCTTTGCATTATGTACAAGATTTCATATGAAATAAAATAAAAAACATTGAAAGCACTTACTTACAAAACACGGACCAAATGATTTGTTGGATATCTTGAAAAATGTATTTCTAAGTAAGTATATTTATATTCTTTTCTAGTCTAAGTAAAGTAAAATGTATTTCTATTTCTAAATGCAATGTGTCAGCCCTATGCTTGCTGAGAGTAACATTTATGAAAAAGAGAGTCTCTGCTTTGAAGAATTTAGAATGTCTTACAGAAGCCAGAGGGCTTCCCAGGAAGCACAGTGGTAAAGAATCTGACTGTCAATGCAGGAGACATAAGAGAAGTGGGTTCCATTCCTGGGTTAATAAGATCCCCTGAAGGAGGGTATGGCAACCCACCCCAATATTCTGCCTGCAGAATCCTGGGCCAGGGAGCTCGGTAGGCTTCCGTTCACAGGGTTACAAAAAGTCAGACATGACTGAAGTGACAGCACAGACACACGCACAGAAGCTGAAAAAATAGACAATTATCATTGAGGGTACTGACTTGGCAGGTGTCATTTTCAAGTTTAATTTTCTTTTTTATCCACATGAAATATTTTTTTTCATTTCTTAAAACAGAAGCAGGTACACTTTATAGTAACTCTCAGATTTGATAAATGGGCAGTGATTTTATACAAGTATATAACAATTTAAATTCAAATTCATATTTGCTTTTAAAGAACACTGCATTCTACAGAAAGAATGCCCATATAAGATCAATTCCATTTGTACATCTGCACATTTCATTTAAAAATAAAGAAAAAAAGAACAGTGATTGAATCAGGCAAGCCTGTGGCTAGAATTAAAAAGTAAATGATTAACATCAATATAAAAACTAGCATCAATATAAAAATCATTATCCTATTAATTAGCCAAAAGACATGGCTAATTTAAATTTTAAAATTTAGTGACTTTAAATACAATTGCCATAGCATAAAGAAATATGAGTACAAGGATTACACTGAGTTAAGCTGTTTGCCATCATTCCCAAACCATTCCCCTAATCCTGGTTCGCAAAATCAGTCCCTGGTGCCAAAAATGTTGGGGATCACTGGTCCAAAGGATTAAAAGAGTGTGATAAAACAAAGTGTTTATGAAAAATTCCTGATTAAGTCAGAGACAAAACAGGAAAAATAAAATTGATGGAACCTTTAGGAATTCTTACCATATTCACAACCCTCTAGGAATTGGATGTTAAATATATCCCATAACTTAGATAAAAATCTGACACTTAATACCAAACCTCAGAGAACCTAGCTTTCCTGCCATAGCAGAAACTTAGAGAAGCCAATGTTTCAGGAGATTTAAACAACTAGAACATTTTCAAGGTAATCATTGTATTTGCATTGTGCTTTTACTGCTTAAAAGGTGTTTTCTAAACCTTATTAATTTGTGTTATCTCTAAATGAGCATTACGATTTTATCTTAAAATTGTGATTTCTTGAAAGATAATGAGGAAAAGGAAATTAAAGTGTAAAAAGAGGCAGATAAATCAAAAGAAAAAATGTAGCAAAAATTATACTTTATTTTGCATGACTGATTTGAAAATAAAGCAATACAATGATAATGACACAATATCTTAGAATACAATGATATAGAATGCTTAGTGTGTTTTTTGGAATTTTTTACATATTTACATTGTGCCTTATAAGGCTATATAAACATTTTACTGAGTTCCTTTTCAGTTCTATAATTACTGGGATTCAGGTGATATTCTATAGCATTGATAAGCTATGAGTACAATCCCTGTAGATTTTCTGTAGACATTGCAAAACTTCAGAGCATTTTTCTCTCCTTTCCCTTCCTTTCTTCTTATATTCACTTGGAAGTACATGCATCCTACAATGATGCATTTTCCTGCACATCTATTTTGTTCCAGGCTCTGTGTTAAGAACTTGTGTACCATGTTGAACATTCTGAATTACTACCCCTACCTCATGGGCTTCTCATGTGGCGTTACTGGTAAAGAACCCACCTGCCAAGGCAGGAGACACAAGAGAGGCAGGTTCCATCCTTCGGTTGGGAAGGTCCCTTGGAGAAGGAAATGGCAACCCAGTCCAGTATTCTTGCCTGGAGAATCCCATGGGCAGAGGAGCCTGCTGGGTTTATAGTCCATGGGGTCACACAGAGTCAGACACAGCTGAAGCGACTGAGCATGCACACTTGCACCCCTACCTCACAGAGCTGCCAAGTTAATCTGGGAAAGTGAACAGTAAGCAAAATATTTGTGGATAAAATGAGCTTGAGAAGAATGAATTTGTGAGTACAATATCTATAATGCCTGGGTGCTAACCTAGTCTAGTCTAGGAAAGTAGAGAAGTACAGAGAAAGTGTTCATTGTTGTTGTTCTCAGCTGAAGTCTAAAGGAGAATTAGACATTAGCTTAGAACATTATTAGAAAGGTACAGTAGGTGTGGTGGCAAATTCTAGACTAGAGCTACATCAGATGTGAAGATTTACAGCTAGAGAAGCATGACATCTTCAAAACCAAAGAGAAATCCTTTCTGGCTGAAATATAGCCAGTGGAGAAGCTAAACCAGCATGGTAGTGGAGGAAAGACAGTGCACTTCAGGGAAAGGCTTAGCAAGATAGGTTCTGATTTGAAATCTAGACATCATCGAAAGCAATGCTCCAAGTGTAGAAAGTAGCCTTTGCAATCAGATGACTATTTAATCAGATGATTAGTAGTATCACTTAAAATCTTGGTCTAATTTACCCTTTCTCAATACTATATTGTGTTTCTGTAGCAGCTACAGTGATTACACGTAAAGAGGCTAAATACAAGGAATTCCAACATGTTTGATTAGCACCAAAGAGGACATCAGAAAACTCTGTAGCACACTGCGCTGACTTTCCTCATCACATTATAGACTAAGGTCAAGCCATCTAGAAACTTTGGGGGCATAGACTACAGGGATTCTATGACTTAATAGTGATGTGACACACAAGTGAAGCTAGGAAAACAAGATATTCATATAATGGCATTTACATGAATAGCATTATGTATTGGGCTTCCCTTGGGGCTCAGCTGATGAAGAATACATATGCAGTGCAGGAGACCTGGGTTCGATCCCTGGGTAGGGACAATCCCATGGAGAAGGGAAAGGCTACCCACTCCAGTATTCTGGCCTGGAGAATTCTAGAAGCAAGTTCTAGAGCAAGCTCCAGAAGTTGGTAATGGACATAGGGTCTCAGTCCATGGGGTCACAAAGAGTTGAACAGGACTGAGCAACTTTCACTTTCACTTTCAAATGCCTTTTGCACCAATGCAAACAATATTCAAGAATTGGGAATCACATGATTCATTTGAGAGAAAAGAATCAAGACATAAATGAAGTTAGCAATATGTCTTAGAAAGTAGGATTGATTTGCTGCCATAGCTGTAATATACTGAAGAATATATCTTTAAAAATATAATTTAGAGCATGTGAAAGTGAAAATGTTAGTCACTCATTCATGTTCCACTCTTTGTGACCCCATGGACTGTAGCCTGCCAGGCTCCTCTGTCCATGGAATTCTCTAGGCAAGAATACTGGAGTGGGTAGGCATTCAATTCTCCAGGGGATCTTCTTGACCCAGGGATCGATCGAGCATTGTAGTCAGATTCTTTACCATCTGAGCTACCAGGGAAGCCTAATTAGAGCATATTTCAGTTCAGTCATTCAGCCATGTTCTACTCTTTGAGACTCCATGGACTGCAGCATGCCAGGCTTCCCTGTCCATTACCAACTTCCTGAGCTTGCTTAAACTCACATCCACTGAGTCAGTGATGCCATCCAATAATAATAATGGGACTGAATTTTTCTCTTCATATTTTGAATTCTTCATGTATTTATTCATCAAATGCAATAATGAAGACTGGCATTAGTTTCCTATTTTTTCAATTATTACATATTTTAATTTAATTTCTTGAACTAATTGCCTACAGTATATGGTATGAAATTCAATAGAAATAACTTATGGGGTGCTTTACTTATTTTGTGCATTTTATAAAGAATAACTTAAATATCTTACAAGTTTACTGTAAACATCTAGTAGGTAGCATAGCGTACCTAACAGTTTCTGAGCAAATGATGAATATCATATATGAGAACAAAAGTAGGCTATGGAAAAGCTTATGTCCTTTCAAAGATAATTTATTTTCTTTTTGACAGATACTTAGGTAATATCAAAATATCGTCTTCCAAACAAGCATTGAGTGATTTGAGACTAAGATGTAGTTATCTGGGAGGGCTGCCCTACTCCTGGTTTGCCTTCATTATTTATAGAAAGGCCATTAGTCTTTGGCCGGTCCTGTGTGCCATTTTATTTTCACCTCAGAAGAACCGGTTCTATCTAATTTTTAGCATCTTAGCTTCCATTTTCTGCCCGAATTTTTGTCTTTCCTTGTGTATCTTACAAATTAGCAAATGCCCAGAAGACAAGCAATGATGGCTTTCATGTTTTTCTCTGAGTCTAAAATCCTGACTACTTTGGTTGCCCTGGGCTACAGTTAGTGTCTCCCCAGCCTCGCAAGGGCTCTGCTGGTGGCTCAGTGGTAAAGAATTCAGCTGCTGATTCAGGAGATGGGGATTCAGTCCCTGAGTAGGGAAGATCCTCTCTAGAAGGAAATGGCAACGCACTCCAGTATTCTTGCCTGGGAAATCCCATGGACAGAGGAGCCTACTAGGCTATAGTCCATGCAGTCACAAAAAGTCGGAAACAACTTAGCAACTAAACAGCTAGAACAACAGCCCTCCTTTCAAAGATAATTTATTTTCTTTTT